TTTGATTGGTCTCTTCGCCATCGCCTCGCGATCGCCACACGTGGTCCTCACCTCTTTAACTCTCTCTAAGACGATCCGCCTCCTTCTTAGGCGGTTTCGACCCGATTCTCTGCCGGGACGAACGCGAAAAAGACATTAGCACTTGCCCTACCCACGTTTCCATCACGGCCTTTCCCGAGAGGACGCATTCCTGGGATTCGGGCCGTCGATCACCGAGACCTCACGATTCCCGGAACGACCCGCCTCGACTGCGAGGCACCAACCCCATTTTAGAGCCAGGAATTCGCTCGGACCTGAGACAAAGAGGTGAGAAGTATGAGGAGTGGCCCTGGGATTCACCGGGTCGCCCCCAGGCGCTTCGAATAGCGACAGGGAGGTCACATTCGTCCCTGGGCATGCATGCACGACCGCCAAGCACGTATGGACGGATATGATGAGCTTCAGATGTCCTATAGAGGTATGCTCGTTTCGGCAGAGCAGCGCCGGGATTAACAGCCTTTTGGGCTGGGAACGCATTGACTTAGACCTAGGAAGGTGGTTTAAGTCTTCTTCCTCTACTTATATCACGAGTTCGTCCTCGGTGACTGAGTGTGACGAAACGCAATCGCCGACGACGGAGTCCCGTAACGAACATTTCTTAATTGGAAAGCGATCGCATCGTAATGTTTGGATTTTCACGGATGACCGGTCGGACGAACCGCATTCCCGTGTTGACGGTGCTAGAGCGACGAAAGCCGTGGATGCGATGATGAACATTCCCTCGCCCGAACCAACTTAAAATAGAAAAGGAATCGTGCCTATGTAAAACCCGTGGACGATTCGTCCTCTCCATTGTGACGTCATGCACCGTAGGACGACAGACGGGAGCCACCCCTGCAGTGCTGCCGTCTCCCGGCAGAAATGGAAAGTCTCTGGCCACACTCATTACTTCTATTCCGAAACAGTCACACAAGCATGCAAATTCCTCTTTAAAGCTACGCAAAGATACTTTTTAGTGAGCGTTTCTTACATGTCGTCTGAGGAATCCGGAGCCTCAATGAGATTAGCACGATTTTTGTATTTTTCAGAGCGAAAGAATCCGCAATATCTCTCCGTCTAAGATGGGGATTACATAGGGTGTTTAAAAGCAAAGACTCATGGGTCATTCCATGCCAAATCAACACATTCAAAAACCTGACCAGGGTCAGGTATTTTTCCTGATGTACTTTACTATGGTTTACTCATTTTCTGTGGGGGATAGCAAGCACTCATTCCCATAGGGAAAAAAAATTGGACCAGGCTATATTCTGGTTCCTGTCTATTTTCTTAAAAGTAGACCCTTCGGATGCTGGACTAAACTTACATTGAACAGTGCAAAGCCATGATTTAATCTGAACTATTAGAGCATTGCACGTGTCTCATCCTATTCCCTCCTAACAATGCTAAGGGATTAACAGCTGCAATCGTCTATGCATTCGTCCATGGAATGCAATGCTGTCCGCTATGTCGGTAATGGTACTTCTCGAAGTTATTCTACCCCGTTTGACAACAATTAACGCATCCAGTGATGCATGTCGCTGGAATGAAACACGGCAGGTGTGCAAACTAACTGCACTTTCGGAGAGCAAGGAGATGGGAACGGTTTTTCAGGATTGAAGTTGCGTGATGGTAGTCCTCTCATAGCACCTCTGTGACAAGAGCATTTCAACAGCTTGGAGGAGATGCAAGATGTAGTATCTACACTTCCGCGTACCCATGCTCAAAGAATGCTTTGCAACCGGCATAAATGAGCAGGTTCACGACGAGACTGAAAAAAGTGCACGTCTCCAGATCATATTGGAAAGCAATGACACTCATATTCTTTCGTGTACAGTAGATGAACCTAATGAGCACGCTTGTCCCCTACTTCTGGTCACTCCATGGTAATGAAAAAAAAAAACCTTTAACTTTCCAATTATGGCATATTTTCTGTTCAAAGTGTTTCCTGTCTGTGTAGTTCCTGGGTAGGAATCCAAAGCAGAAAATGGGAGAAAGGAAAATGCATGCAGAGAACCTGTTACCATCGCCAGACCGCGTTCTCGGAGGGGAACGGCCGGTAGTGCTTAGAGGGGGATCGACTTAGATGGTCCTTAGATGGGACCGACTGGAATTGCCCGTCTTTCAAGGTTGTTCCCTGGGGAACCGGCGCATCGATCCGGGCGATTCGAGCAACGACGGAATCCGGATCTCCTCTGCTAACGAACGATCAAAAAGTTTGCCTAGAGGAGGCTTTTTCAGACGGCGATGGGATCGACTAGAAACAGTCTAACTTTAAAGGTGTTCCCGAGGAAACCAGAGTGTCGATCGTCTGGACGTGAAGCACTCATGGAATTCGAATACCCCCTCTATCGAACGGTCTCAGAATTTTTTCTCTGTTCACTATTGAGCCATTCGGCAAAAGGGATACGAGTTTTCCTCTCGATTTTAAAAACCTTTCTCGATAATTCTCGGAAGAAGGCTCGCGAGCTTCAACATTGGAATCGATCTCGACGTTCCCTAAAATCCCACGCATGATTCAATCTCAGGTTCAGTCGAGGAAACCAAAAACTACGAAAGCGGAAACGATGGAAAATGGAAACAAAAAAAAAGAAGAGAAAAAATGGACGACTGGCGACAAAACGAGTTTTTACCATTCATTTTTTGTCAGCAGGAATCACTCAAGCTCATCTTTAACCGTTAGCGTACGGATTCAAATTTTTAGGGTTTTTTTTTTTTCCCCGGTCGCCATTGAAGTGGAGGATTGAAGCGCAAAGAAACTTGCTTGTTTAAAGTTTGGACTCTTCACGTCCGTTTATCCGTATGATCTATTTATCCAGTGAACCGTATAGATCCGTCATTCGGCGGTGGAGGAAAACAATTTGTGCGGATCGATCCGTCTATCGGACGGTAAAGGTTAAAGGACATCATCTCCGCTATGTTATGACATAATTTAGGTTCGCCTCGAGCAAACCTTTAGGAGTTCAAGACACTTCATTCTGATTCCAGGATGGACAAACTAGCGGCAGCTTTAGGAAAGATTTACGGTCAAACTGTAAATAGGAAAGCAAAGTGTGACCTTTCCCAGTGCATTTCTAGAGAACCACGGGACATAGTTCCTGGGACGTAGTTGAACTACGTCCCAGATTTCGTGTCGCAGATGGTCAATTTTTCTTCCCCTTTCGCTTCGAAACGGTAAAGAATTATCGGCAAGGCATTCCATACACGGTATTCGTGCTTTTAAAGATTTAGAAAGGTGTTGACATCTTGAACTAGGAAGGATTTTCATGTCGTGAGCCCAAAGTGCCCCAACACTTTCGAAGATAGAAAGTAGGGCATGCAAACGCGGAATTTTGAGCATTCTTATCATCAACAGACTTTTGCGCCCTGTCTGACGAAGGGGATGGAGGGAAGGATGAAGAGTGGGGTCTAGAGTAGATGAACGACAAAAATATTTCAAAAGAGAAACGATAGTATTCGGGATTCGAGCCGAATCCCAGCTTCAAGTTGCGTGCGACATCTTCCATTCCATCGCAAACTCTCTGCTTCCTGATTTTATGCCTAGGGTTTGCTTAGATCCAGGCGAGGCTCAGCCTCCCTGAAGGCAGAGGTCATGCGGCTTCACCGCTGCTTGGTTCTAATCAACTCTCTCCAGTCCATTTTTCCAAGGTTCAGGACCTCTGGAGGCACTTTCGACAATGATCACGTCCCATACCGAAGTACAAGTCAAGGTATAGATGTCGAGGTATGCAAATGTTTGAGGAGAGGTTTTGTCAAGGTGTGTAAATGTTTGACGTTTGATACGATAGGCTCACCCCCTCTGAATAAAAGAATATTTGTAGGAGGTGGATATCCACCAGCTATTGCATCTTGCTCAGTTTTTCTCTTTTTTTTCCATGAGGCCATCTAACCTCTTAGTCACGATAGTCACCGGGAGGAGCAGCCACTATATCGTCACACGCATTCCATGCATCGACTACCCTGCTAGTAGAGAAGTCATTCCACGACCTGAGAGTCTCGTGTGGGGTATTCACTACTTGAACCGGCTTTCTCCGTCCTGCTGTTTCCATCGAGTCTGAAGGCACTGCCACACTCCATGTTATCAATTTCCTGGAAAGCCTGGATAAGATCCCCCCTCGTTAGCATTCTTTCGAGAGAGAAGAGCTTCGCCTGTTCAAAACGCTCTTCGCATGGAAGTCCTCGTACTCCATTTTCATTTTCGCTCTTGAACCCTCTCGAGCGCTGCCTGAACACTACTTCCAGCCCTTCAGAATCGAAAGCAATACTCTAAATGGGTCTTAGGGTCTTAGAGCTGCATACAACAGAAGAATAATGCACGAGCTCTTATCAACGATGGAAACCTGATGAAGCCTAAGATCTTATTACATTTGCAACAGTAGTATCTCTCTCTTCTCTCCTTAATAGGTGCAATCTCAATAGTAGCATTCGGTAAACTCATAAGTTTAAGCTGCGGCACAGGAATCATGTGAACGGAACTTTTTTTTTGTTGCCTGGATACTTCGTCCTTGAAAGTCATGAAGGATGGAGGGGAGTTGTTGACATGTCTCTGTCTCTCTCTATGGGAAGGTTCGGGGCAACCCCCCCCCCCCCCCCACACACACACACACACACACACACACACACACAAACACATCCTCAGACGAAAAACGGGCGAACGGGTAGGAAATGAAGACACAAATGTGGTGATCAATAATTCTTAAAAACCATTTGAAAAACAGAAATAAAAGGAAATGAGGTAAAAGGCTGAAAACTTACTGTCTTTCGCCGGGCAGGTTACGATGGACTTCGCAGGGCACAATACGCACACGACATCTATTGACGGTAATACGAACTCTCTGGTTCTACACCCATCGCCTAGAATGTACTAGGGTTCGGAAAGCTCGGCATCCTCTCCATCCACATTTCCAGCGATCATGACTCTAATTTGGAGGGTTCGATAGCATGTGATTTCCTTAAATGATGCAGCAAGAAAAATAATAAAAGCATACACCGTTAATTATATTTTATTCCCAAAGTCACCGATGCGCCACGGGATGGAATGAACATCAAGACAGGTAACTCCCAACATGGTCTACAAGTAACACAGCTCGAGTGAATTTTGAATTCCAAGCACCGATACTGTCACATTCTTCCATCACAGAATCGACTTATTTTCCTCACAGAATAGACATTTTCATACCCCCTCTAAGCTTCAAAAGACGGACACGACGGATGGGAAACGAGTAAAGGGATTTTGGGTTTTCAGCGCGAGAAATCCGCAGGATCAGCGCCACCAGGATTTCACGGCTTTGTTCATCTTCCGCTTTTCCGTCTCGTTGTATCCGAGGATGCTCTCGATGGCCTTCAAATGACCCTCCTGGTTCTCCGGGTCCGTGATGAAATAGAAAATGGCGGATTTGAGGAATTGCAAAGTGACTCCGGGGTCAAAGCCTTCTTTCCCTTTCACGACCGTCTCTTGGCATGCCGTCTGATGTTTCAACGCCTACGATCAAATCCAAGGATAGATCATCCATCCGTGGATTTCAACATTTAAAAAAATAATAAGAAATAAAAAAACCTAATGCCTTCAGCGGTGTCCACCACCAGGATAACATGCATTCCAATAGCACGAATCAATTGAGGTGTGTGTTCACGACTCATAACCGAACTGAAGGTGGTGAGACCAAGTATAGCAGCCGGCCAACAAAAAAAATCACCCAAATGAGTCTATTGGCATTTTAAAGACGGAAGAAACATGCACGGTCCAAGCAAGCGCGGGTTTGGGCACATGAAAAGCTTCCTGTTCGCAGTTCACTCCCTGGTCGACCTGGGAAAAGTTTATGCTGTATTTACAGGCATTTTTAGAAAGCTGAACCGGGAACGCAAATAAGCTGGACGGCAAAAAGAGGAAAGAAAGAAAAAAGAAAAGAGGAAAGAACAAAAGAAAGAAAAGGAGGAAAGAAAGAAACGTACCTTTCTCATGGCCAAGATCCAGAGAGCGACAGATTCGCCTAGTTTCAAGCCAGCATGGGCTTCCCTACACTCCCTCTGCAACAACCCCCCCAAGCATCAGCATTGCCCGAATCTGCTGTCTATCTACAAGGTGTCCATTAACTTACGAACCATTTTTTAAATCCTCAACTCAATTTTTGGAGGACAACACGAGTTAAAACTTGGTGAGCGCTAGGTTCAAGTCAGCAGTCGTAAAAGGAGAATTTAAAAAATCACCTTCACAGCCTCATTTTCACTTTTTTTTAAGTCAGAAACGCAAAAATTTACAGGATCTTGAATTACCAAGTTGTAACGCAGAATCCTCGGAATAAGTCTCTGCCATCGATAGGCGAGTAAAACGTGAAAGATCGGGCATAGATCCTGTTACAAAAAAAAAACTATTTGAATGTCAAACATGTATTTATTTGAGTTGCTTGCAGTTTCTCGAAAGCGCCTTTGAAGTTTCCAACGAAAAGCAGTTGGACTTTCAAGATGGGCCATCCCCTACACATTTATCTTTTACCAAAACAATATTTTAGGCAAAACAAAAAATGCGGGAAATAAAAATGAGAATCTGCATGATTCTGAATTTCTGGATTCTTTTTCACTTCAAAATGTAACATTTCAGCCCATTTCAATCGGTAACTGCTGAGACAGGAATTAAAAAAAAAAGTGTTTCGTAACTTATGGACACCCTGTAAAACAGCGCAGCTAAAACACACAGAAGCCATTGTTTTTTTTTTGGCCAGCTCGAAACCAGATTCACAAGACGCCCACCAAGGAAGCAACTCATCGAAACCCAATTTCTTTTTGGCAGCCGGGTCGAGCTCATCCTTTCGCTTCTTTCGCCGGTTCCTTAATGTCATTCGCGTTTTAATCGTACATCCAGTCAAAGGCATGACTGAATGAAATGACGAGGCAAATCTACCAGATTGCAGCTGGAGGACGAGAGGATGACGGGAAAAGGCGCGTCACGTTCACGATTTTCCTCATCTCAATCTTTTTTTTTCTCTGTATCAAACGCGTCCATTGTATTTAACTGTCGTTTCCGGCACGACGTATGACTTGCAAGTACGACTTAAAACCTTACAAGTACGACTTAAAACCTTGCAAGTAGGACTTAAAACTGCCAAAGAGAGGGAAAGGGCAAAAGAGGACAGGGCTGTGCATTGTGCGAGAAAGCAGGAAAACGATGCAAACCCCACCGACTCCGTCCGTCGCTGAATTAATAACTGAAAGCATGGAGTTCATCGGATGGGGTCCATTCGGTAGAGACAATTCAGGGAAATAAAAAAAAAAAAGGTAAGAGGTACGACATACCATGCCCCGATAACGATGCGTATTTAAAAATAAAAGTACCTGCATGGAATCGACTTGGGATTCCTCCAGTTTGAGTCCCTTGAGGAGCTCCGGCATCTTTTGGAGACGCAGATCGTCCAATTCCTGGGCAACGCATATTGCAAAAACTTCATTTTAGTACAGGAAAGGCATGCACACAGACGAGATTCAACCAGCTGTGAATGCAATAGCTCAAGTGTGCATATCATATAAACGCATCTGCAGTACTGACATACGGAGTTCCCGTTTTCACGGCATAACTGCAAGATACGTCTAATTCCTGGATTTCCTCATTTTATTCAGGATCTGTTAAGAGGCCTCGTCACTTCGTTTTTCACACCAAAATTTGAATGGCCAGTATTGTATTTTTAAGAAAAGGGCAAACGAGAGAAATATAGAAATGATTATCATTCGAATTCTATCTCGATACAAACTCATGAATCGTGTGACAGTCGATAGTAGGAGGGAGAGCACGAGAGTTTTAAAGAATTTAGACTCTTGGACCCTTTTACCGATTTTCGTTCGGCTCGGGCGGTCTCCCTTCCCTGTTGAAAGGCTTGCATGTAGATCCTTCCGTGGCGATTCTCTCCAGCCTCCTTTTCACGCACCAAAGCCCTCCTTTCCTCTTCCAATCCGTGAAGCCTGCACTCCGCGGCTTCGTATCTTCCCCTCAGGTCGCCGTAGCTACATCATCGACAAGGCCAACATCCATCGTTTACTTCAATTATTTATCCTTTAACCATCCGTTAACCATCCATCCGTTAACCAAACATGCAGGATTCTCTCTCGGTATGCAATGATGTGAAAGGTAACCGAAAGTCGTTGGGATGTTTTCGAATCCAGTATCGAATATAAAACCATTCCAACTGCTACCAGCCGTCAAAGTATTTGGGTCTTCACACACCCCAAAACATTAGCAAACCTGAATTTGATAGTGACGCAATCCTATGGTTCAGCAGCCTCTATTGACGTGAACTCAGCCAGTTCACTCACTCGCGGCCCGAGTCGGTATATTTCCGAGCGTTAGTGGATGCATTTTGTATCGCATCGGTTCATCGGATTTGTGGCAAGGTCGGCTCTGTTATGTAGCGTTGGGTGTGTAGGGATGAGACTTAGAATTCGGTTCATTCATTGACGGAAATGGGATGAACGGATACCTTGGGGGTACCGAGAGGTTCACTTCCGTAGTTTTGACAGGGGTAGTCAGGAATGAGATGATTGCCTGGCCGAGCAACTAGGAAACTGCGAAAAAAAAAGTGACGTTCCGCGGTGGGAAACCGTATCAGATTTCCCTGTTTCGAGACTGAAACGCACGAAGCACGAGGGTCACACCACAGAGCATATGGGTTATAGACTTACACGCTCTCGGTTCAGTGCCTTTCACGACGTTCTTGCAGTTCTCCAGTTTTCGTTTCAGGTCAAACAGGAATCTTTACTGCGTCTCGTTGTTCGGGTTTTATTTTAAGCAGAAAATTGGGAACTTTCGTCATTGGAAAGGATTCGAAACATACTTTGCACCTAGTAACTGATAACCGGGAAGTTTGATTCCAGAAAAAGTCTCCATCGTGACGTCCACGAGCAATTTTTCCCCCTTAGCGATCTCGAAGAAGTACACCGAGTATCGAAAATCAGAGTCGGATGGAAGACGTCGGACGAGACCGACGAGGACACGGTTTGGTGTCAGACCTGCGGTTGAGCAGAGAGAGTTGCGAGAGGAGTTCTTCGATCCGATCGTTGTATTTGGCCTTGAGCTCATGATATTCCTCTCTGCATTCCACGGTGAGGATCCCGGCGTCCACGGAAGTCCGGTCCGGCGCCATCCGTAGGGACTTCGCCGAGGAATTCTCCTCGAATTGTCCTGGAACCCATCCCAACGAATCTCACGCGACCGGATGAAAGGGAAATCGAGCGGAAAGAAAGCGCAAAAGATTTACCAGAGTCGGTCAAGGAGGTCGGCTTGTCGGCTCTCAACGTCACACTGGCTCCATCCAGACTGTCCTGGCTCCCCGACGAGTACGAAGAAGGAATCGAGCGGACCTTCTTCCTTCTTTTCGTACCGTCCAGACGCAGATTCGGGGGGATTGCAATTTTTGCGCCACAGGACTCGCACGTGAGTTCTTGAAGGGCCGAAAACCGGAGCTTCAGTTCCACGAGTTCGCTCGTCACGCGAAGCAATTCCTCCTGTTTCAGCTGCAGTCGACCGTCAGCCAGCTTCATCTGGGCCTGCCATCACATCGCATGCATAACGATACACTCTTCCGACTCTCCATCGATTCGGTTCGGAACGCGAATTCGAAGAGAGAAACGCTCGACCTTGAGGTGTTTCACCTCGCGAACCGCCCTCTGAGTCGGGGTCAGGTAATGAGGATCCGTCTCGTGAGGAAGGGAACAATGCAGCACGAACCTCTTGCTCTTACCTATAATCACAAAGTGAATCGATGACGGTCATACGGTCATGATAATGATCAAACTCATTGTTTAACGGCGCAGGGAGAAAAAAAGGGCTTACGGTACTAGTATTTAGAAGCAGAAATGCAACCTCTTTATCTCGAGGCTCTATCAAACTATTATGAAATTGTCCCCCAAAAAACCTCAAAATCACCAATAAAAACTCCAATAATTATTGAAGCAATCATTGGATTTTAAATGAGAACTCAAAATTTATTTTCAGGCACCTAATGTATATTTTTTCTCGATAGTCACACTTATTACTCTACTTGAGAAGGTACTCAATCGACTTATGTATCAATTAATTTATGCTCTTGCGAATTGTCGATCTGAAAGTCGATCTGCAAAAAGTAGTTCATGTCTCAAAAGAAAAATGTGGTCTATATGCATAGACCACTTAATCTAATGTAGCTGGCTGCCCTCTTTCTGGAAAGGAAAAGTGGTCTATATGCAAATAGACCACCTTTCCTCCCCCCGACCACAAAGTAAAAATGACGAAATACTCTCGCAAGGAACCGTGTTCTCCGTACAGCGACCAATTTCCTTTTTTTCGGGTCGTTTTTGCAGATAGACCAATTTTCCTTTCAGCCATTAAATTATACATTCGGCCTTTGAATGCCATAGTTTTGGTTTTTTAATGTTTACTTCAATTTATGTTCATTATTATCAATCACATTATTAATCATATTATCATTGCTATCAATTAATATTAAGTCTCATTTATTTATTTATTTTTTGTTACTTATAAACTAATGTTCTATCCATGACTCTCTATTTCTGTTTCGCTCGTTCTCACACACTCTCTCTCTCAGAGCGGAGAAGGCAAAATCATACCTGAAGAAGGGGGATAATGAAGCCCAGAGCACGAGACGGCAGTCTTGATGCTCCCACACTCGGATCCAGGGGGAAAGTACCGGGTCGGTGTTTTTTGCCCATGTAGGTCCAGGCTGGACGCTGCCATTCCTCCCACGCGGGATGGACTTCTCTCCTGTCGAGGCAACAAAGAAGGACGCGGTCGAATCAAAACTCGAATGCTCCCCTGCTCCCTTTCCGCAACGATTCCCCTTTCGTTCCCGACCTTCATACTTCTCGATGGACGAATCGATAGGTATTTCTTCGGAGTCCGACGCGTCTTCCCGTCATCGATTGACCTTTGGATCGACGCGATCGCTTCGTTTTTCTCGATTCTTACCACTTGAATGCCACACGAATACCTTTCGCATCGCTTGTCTGCCACGTGCACAAGGCATTCATTTCCACTCATCCTCTCTGCACCGAACGAGACTGGCCGAATTCCTCCGTTCGGTAAATATCATACCCTAGTCCGGTCCCTTGCCTACTACTCTACTTTCTAGACGGTATCTCGATCGCGAAAATCCCTTGCTTTCTACATCTCTTTCGACTGGGATCAGCCATCCGTCCGATGCATATCTCCAACCGTGAAAAAGCTAAAGATGGGTGATATAAGATTACGAGTGCCGCGATGAGGGGGGAGGAAAAAATCGTGCGGTCGTAAAATCCACGCTCTGTCGACAAGTACGTCCTGAAAATGAGGGAAATGGAAAGCGAGAAACCGGAAACCGTTCTGCACGGCTGAGTTCCTGGGAGAAACGGTTTTGACATTCAGGATCATCGTGCTATTAATAAATGGAACTCTCCTTCCTCCGGAACCCGGAAGAATGAGAAAAACACTCTTAAGATACTCCTTAAGCAAGGACTGACCGGATAAAAAGTATCGTGGAAATCGGTTCCACTCCCAAATGATGTGAAGGTGGGTCTTCGCTCTCCCTTCAGCCTCAGCGATCCCGATCGTTGGGGCCGTGGGATCTTGCATGCCCGATTCTGCGACGCCTCCATTCACCTGGAACACCATCTCCACGTCAATTCTCTTTTATTGTTGGCTCCATCTCGTGGAAACGGGCCGTAACGACCAGGTACTCGAGCGGCGATCGATCTCACTTCTCTGCTTCCGAGCGCGCAAGTTGAGGGGAAAATCACAGGTTCTCCACCGTCATCAACCGATATTAGCGGGAATTTGATAAACCGATTGCAAGTCCTTTCGAGTGGAAAAGCAACGAGTCACGGAATTGCTTTTTCGAGACCTGAAGGGCATCTAAAGGCGTACTAGCTATCCGAGGCTGATAATCACCACTCCAGGCATTCCATGAGAAATGGATCCGCACCGCAAGGGTGCAAATACGCAACTTTTAATGATCCTGTCATACATTGACCTGTTTGTGGAACTAATCGCTGTCCTCATATGCGGGCTATTATATATGCTTCGGAGGGTGTCACTGGTCCCAAAAACTTTAATTTGAAAAGCGCAATGCATCTGTCCCAAGATGAGGCCCGTCTGCACGAGAGGGTTATAAACTACTCAAGTTCGCAGGATAGGCGTACTTAAAAGTGCTCTATGAAATGTGTTTCGATTGTCGTTCGGGATTGCACAAGGAATGACCTTGCCATCGACTGATTTCCTCGTCGATGCAAAGAGATCCAGAGAAAAATTCGCTCGCGAGTAAGTCGACGTGGAGGAGGTGAAAGGAATACCTGCTATTGCGAGGATTTCGTGAAGCAGCGATCGAGTGGAAGGAGAATGCGGCAATGACTAGAACGACACGGCGAGGAACTTCATGACTCGGCGTATCTCGCTGATAACACGGCAGCCATCACGAACGGAGAGATTCCGGGGAGGGAACGCAACAAAGAAACCCACCGCTTCCCGAGTTTTCGATACGCGAATGGGGAAACCGGGAAAACTCCCAAAACGAGAGAGGATTCCGCGAGGGAGAAGAAACGCAATGCGCAGAGACCCTCACCGCCGACTCGATGCTCGTCGTCGTCGTCACCGACTGCCCACATCGATCAGGATGAAACTCGCATGCGCGCACACCGCAGATAGGTGCCCGCGGTCCCGAAGGTCTTCCCGCTGAATGAGAAGTAGAGTCCAAAACGGGCCCATCGTCAGGCGTGCCCGTACGGGTGTCCGTCGGACCGATCGGGTGTTCCCGTGAGACCGCTCGGCAGACTCGACCGTCGTTCCGTGCGTGTGATAGGGGCAGGGGACGCCATCTACGTCGGTTCCGCTTCCGCACTTTTGTTGACTTGTGCAGCGAGCCGAAAGCGTGACCGATGCAATTCGTGCTCGAGCAGAGAGGCTATAGTTCCAGAAAGGACGAACGAGAGCTGAATTCGTTCGCTGCAACGATCTGTCGAGGAGAAAGTGACTCTTTGTCCGAATCCGCCATTATTTCTCGGTAGGAACGAGTGACTTTCGTGCGATTTCCTTCCCCACGAGTCTCGTTAACGTCGAAAGCGAAAATTTGCTTCGCGGGACCGATAAGTCTATTGGCATCCGATCCGAGAAGGGAGAGCGGAAAGAGAAAGGCTTTGCATGAAAACAACGACTGTGGGTGCAACTGGAATGAGACGAACGGCAATCGCGCTGGTCTCGTTCGTTTCTTGGTCGTCTCCGCTAGACGCGCAGACTTTTTTTTTCTCCACCCAGCCGTAAAAATCAGAGCTTCGAGAAATTTCCCACCCGGCGTACTCGCTCGTGCGACAAACGGCGAAGACATCTGGACGGGATGAGAATTCTCTCAATTGGAAGAGACGAAGGTGCATTCGAGTCCTAGACTTCTTTCTGCCTCGCTGCCATTTCTTATCTATCACATGCTCTGCAGTTTCTCAGCTCTTAACTTCGGGGACTCCATCCGTCGCCGTGTCTTTGCCTTCATCCTGGAATCCATTTCGAGCCTGAAATCCGACAGAATCGTCGATCGCATGGCCCGAGAATAGGTTCTTCCTGCATCGTCACCGTACGACGAGGCCGAGACGAGTTCCATCACAGTTCGCGCGTTTTATCATCGCATGAGTCGCCTCGCTCCGTATTTCCCCCCTCAACTTATGACATCTGAAAGGTATGCTGCAGAGATTTTTTCCGAGTTGCTGAGTCTTCTCGGTGCTCCACTGCGACCTTGACATCGCATGAAATGAAACAGCTGAAGCCACTGCCGACTCTCAGCCGTCCTTTCCGATACAAATTTGATCATTAATATTTGTATGCCGCAATCTCACGTAGGTCGGCGTCTGAACGTCTGGTGAATTCATGAATCAGTGGACGATTGTTTTCCATAACAGTGGTCCCAGATTCGACACTGAACAACTACCACAAGAATTCCTTTGTCATCAACTCTTCCCAGAGACCCTGGCCCAAGGTCTCAGTTGTCAGGTCTCATTCAAGAAGTGAGACCTGAAAACGCCTCTGAATAGGGAGTCTACTGGGACGCTTCGAGCAAGCTGCTAGTTCCTCATTTCGATATTTCGGAATGTGCATCAACCCATTGGATGCGTCTGCTCTCTAGCGGACGACAGTAAAATTACGCGAAAGAGATATTGCGCTCATCTGTCCAGCTTCCTCGGTATGATGTGAGGGAAGTTTTGGCACCAGCTGATATTAGGAAATCGTTTTCATAAAAGGTTATTGAAAGTGTCAGTTACTAGAAGTGTTCTGGAAGTCGCCTAAGTTTTTGCTCGTTTACGCATGGTGTAACACCATTCCCGTTTGGCTTGCCAAAGTTTTCTGGTTCATCCTTTCGTGGAAAGTTAGGCTGTACCGCGTAAGTGTGAAAATCGGTACGACCAGGGCTCAACCCGGCTGAATCCTGGTTGTAACTGCCTGCTTCTGCTGACGGCGAAATATAAGCTGTAGCTGTTTGTTTTTTTTTTTAGATAACTTTGGATTTATGCAACCAGCGAGGACTGTAGCCTTTACGTTATCTCGTTTTTCATCTTATCCCTAACCGAGGCTCTCTCCTTGGCCCGTGCATTGTTCGCCTACTCAATGATCTGGCCCTGAGTGAACTATAAAAAGTGAATATGGGATCTCCTGTCTTGTCACGCGCAGGAAGAAAGACGATGGGAAGGAAGGAAAATTTCCCTTTAGGGTACTATGTTCCAGTTGAAGAGGTAACGAGGGGTTGTGCTAAGACTCTCGCCATGGCCTCCTGCCCATGCGTTCTGGGGGTCCTGGGACCCCCGGGACGCACAGGCAGAAGGCCCAAGACTGCTGGATTGAATATCATACTGTTTGGTTATGATAAGTCGGCAAATACACATGGATTGCTGGCCTTTTACTTTTGGGGAACCCTTCAAGATTCCCTCGTGCTTCACTTGGAAAGTAACCCCCTTAATTATCAAGGGACCCTTCCATATCAGACCTGAGGGTCCCAGGGACCCCTACAGCAAGAAACATAGCGCAACCCCTGGTAACCTAATTTGACGGTTCATAAAACCTCCTGTAGAAAATATAGATTCGTGATTTTTTATATCGTAAAGAGAATACCCTAAAATTTATTTCCCAAAAGTTTCAAGTCCATATGTCCATATGCTGTGTGAATAAAGAGCAACAGTCGTTCAAACTTCAATAACAAATGTTAGCTTTCCACCAATCTGGATCAGCGGTAGCGGTGTTGAATAGGACCTCCATTTTCCACAACTCCGCGTAGTCTACCTTTCAATTGTTAAATGGTATGCTGGACATGGTCTTGATATATCAAGGGCCAAGCCTCTTCTTCTGCTGTAAATCTTGGAGGCTGGTGAATGGTTCACTCCGTTCTGCATAGACGAGTTCTTGCAAAGTAGTCGAGGGGATTCAGGTCAGGAGAATTTGGTGCCCACTCGGACTCTGATGTGTGTTGAGGAGTTTTTCAATAGAAAAGCTCGAGTTAAACGAGTGATGCTGTGGTGCACTGTCTTGAATGAAAACGAAGAAAGAACATCCTTAGACATTCTGGTAAAAGTACTTCCAAGTGGGCAATGTACGTTGGTGCCTCAACATTGGTCCGTTCAGGATTGACGAAAAACAGCCTCGTTTTCCCATTCCAGGAAATGCAACAGGATACCATCAACTTTCGAGAAAAGCGGGACCTCTTGTGATACAGTTGGCCTGGGGCAACCTTAGACCTCTGTTCTTTTGAGTTCGCCCAATTATTTTGTCTATGTTTCACTTGCTGAGTAAAGCCTTTCTCATCTTGAAAGACCATCCGCTCTCTTCTTGCGAGAGAGCATACTCCTCCACATACTCCTGGTTTGTTTCAGTGCTGACAGTTTGAGGCTTTCCACTCCCTGCTTTACGAGAAATCGATCCAGTTGTCAAGAATTTGTTGATGGCTCTGTTCACAGAACAAGCCATCCGTGGCTTGTTTGGGAAATCTCACTCGATTCTCCTCCCTCTCCAGCCCTTCTCTTCAAAACACTTTCATCACAGCGGGGGTCTTCCTTTGTCAACTGATGAGCAAATCGTCAAGTGAATCGTTCCCCGATATTGCAATCGTATCAGGGTATTTTGTACATTATTAGCATTGGAAGTATTATGTGTGTTGTCGATATGGTAATTGGGAAGGGTTGTGTCACCCATGAAGGGGGAGAATGAACCTCCCAAGGGAGAGTATGAAATACCAGGGGTGAGAATGGAGGGTGACCTTGAATGGATCTTCCGAGGGAATGCATTTATTGCCTTGGGGCGATGTCGAGGGGCGTGTGCTGCCTATCAAAGAAACTGATGCTATCTTGAAAAGAGAGTGAGGCATTTGCACCCGAGGGTTTGCCATGCAACCACCAAGGGTGTCAGAAACCAAGATGAGCATTCTTACCCTAGTTTCATAGTGATCATGCTCACCCCTTGGGTGGCCGTCCAGTGACAAAGCAAGCAAAAAACCCCATAGGGTGCGGGATCTCACCCTAGGGGTGAGATCCCGCACCCTTAGGGATACATTCATGCAGCACAATATACGAGACATTGTGCTGTATGAGTAACCGGTGACTCATGTCGCAGCGAAAGTGTTCATAAACAAAATATGGTGTGAATTGTGTTTCCATATCTCAATTCATTGTGGAGGAAGAAAAGAGAATTCAGTTGGCGCACGCGATTAGGTCTACCCGACTCTCCCTTATAGGTATTCGCAGCTAAATTCTTCGGGGAATCAGAGCCCTTGATTTTTTATTAAAATATTTCTTTCGACTTTCAACTTGGATCCTTAGATTTCACGGAGGTACAACAAGAGATCATTGCTTAATTTCCTCGAGATTGCTCCCAAGGGAAGATCCTTCGAGAGCCCCTAGTAGAACTCCACTTGGGGCTACCAAAGGACATTTCCATGGAAACTGAAGAAACTACTTATTTATTGTCATGTGAAGTGGACGCTTATCTCACACTCTTCACCCAGTACTACAGTATTAATAGTTAGTAACAATTTTTAAAATGTCCTCGAACTGAATTTATTGAGTTGTCATATGATTTATGCTAAAAGACTGGGGAAGTGAGTTTCCAGAGAAAAGATTGTGTATTGGACTGCGGAGTGGGCGAGCTCTCCATGCGGAACTTCACAATCCTGCTTCTCATTTGGGACTATCGGAATATAAAGCAGACTGGAAATTTTCATCCTTATAAAGTAAATATATAATATCTCGAAAATGACCTAGTTACGGAAAAATAAACAAGGAAAAAAGACCAGAAAATTCAAACCTCGCGGAATGCAGCCCATTCGGCACAGCAACTTTGTGTCAACATTGAGCAATTGATTTTTCAACGTAATAATGTTGTCTCAATGTTAAGGAAAGGTGGAAATGAAACAGTTCAACGTTGAAGAGTTGCCGCTGTGCAACCTTGTGTCAACGATGAATTTTCCACGTTTTGGCATTTAAGTACCTCCTCCGTTTCTTGAGTCTGAACGAGCGCTGATATGGATTAGATGACGGGACTTCATGTATATTAGATTGATGATAGTACTCCGTGAAGTACTGTCATCCCTCGAAGGGATCCCTCCGGAGAACCACAGTAAGGACCTCTGTGTGGGATGGCAGTACTCATTGAGTACTAACACCTAAGAGGAGTCCCTCGTGTGGTGTATTTATTTTACTGAATCGGAATTCGAGTTGAGCGCCTGAGTGACGCAACTCTGTCCATCCAGTAAGGGGAGTACATGTCTTTCAACATCACCACATGAAGGAAAGCAGCCAGACAAATACCCGCGGAGCAGTTTTCAAGTTCTATTGCTCTCGAAAAGCACACATAACTTAGTCTTTCGGAATATCATGTAGAGACTTAGAAAATTACAGCATGTTTCCTCGTACCCCCTGGCCAATAGTACTTGGAGTCTCCTTCTGCCGAGTTACCTCCTTAAACGGGTGTATCAAGGAATTCCAAAGCCTTACCTTAAGTTGTACGTGGAAAACGATCGGGTACTGTGAGAAAAATACAGCGGTGCTTGGCGCTTAAATTGGCGAAAAATTGGCGCTTAGGCGCCATCTCGGGCCGATTGGCTGAACCTATTTAAATGTGAATGTCTCAACTATGTCTCAACATTCATTTTAACCTGTTAGCAAAGTTGAAACAACGTTGTTGTGCCAAATGGGAGCTTTCTTACCTGTTTTGTGTCTTTTCAGAACAGGTTTCAGGAAAAAAATCGTGGGTATTACCGGATAAATCTTTTAGCCGTGCTTCGCGAATGTGTTCACGCACGACGAACGGTATGCACCACGTAAAGTAAGAAAAAAAGAAGACATTTTTTCGGATTTCGTTGAAAAATCAGAAGTTGTCAGGAAGCATGAAGATGTAGCCCATTTGCTAGAAGTTATGGAAACATGTCTCAAGTCCTAAATGAGTTGGGAAAGCAATTTTACCCCATCGAGTTCCTACGCACTTCGTGAAAGCATCCCCAGGAAAACAGGAAATAATTGTTGCAGCGCAGCAAAGAGCCCTCTCTGACGCTGCCCATTAGCCAAATAACATGCCCTGCAAGGAATTGGCATGAGCCTGTGCATGCATATCAAATCCCAAAATCAAATTCAAGATTCAAGATTCAAGATAGTTAGTGACATCAAGAGGCGATTTCAACCATTTCGATATCACGTGTCGAGGTCGAGCGTTCTTAATTTTAGCGTAGGCCTAACCCTCTTAAAGCTAAATATTTTTGCATTTTTGTTTGTTTGTTTGTTTGTTTTTTGTTGTTTGTTTGACTATCCAAATTGCTTACTGTCTAGTACCTAACGTCAGCATTGCCCCCCACCTTTTTGCCTGTCCATGAAAGCATCCAGTTTCTTCTTAAAGATACTCAGTTTTAAATTCCAGCTGGAAACAGCTATAATTTCCAGCTGGACTCCAGCTGGAAATTCGGACCCATTCCAACTGGGTAACAGCTGGAAAATAGTCAACTCCTGAGTTCTTCCTAATTGCAATATAACTAACTGAATGAGAATCTTTTCTTTGACTATTTTTGTCGGAGGTCCATCAACAGGAACAGCTGATTTTAAACTGTAAATTTAGCNACTATTTTTGTCGGAGGTCCATCAACAGGAACAGCTGATTTTAAACTGTAAATTTAGCTACATTCCAGCTGTAGGGTTCTTTTTTTTTTATAAAATTCCAACTGGAAAATTTCCAGCTGGAAACAGCTATTAAAACCATCTGCATTCCAGTTGGAAAATTCCAGCTAATAAACAACTGGTACCTACTGTTTTCCAGCTCTTTGACAGCTGGAAATGATCCGAATTTACAGCTTTGGTCCAGCTGGAATATTCCAACTGGGATTTTAAACTGGGCCGTCTCGTTCGATCGTCGAGAGCAATGACGTCACAGGTTTCAGGAGGATCTGACACGCATTTTATTGTAGAAAAATACGGATTTTCTTTACCTCGATGAAATATATTAGGAACTCTGCCGACGGAGAAAGGGCCGGAACGGAACGAAAGACGAGACACTGGAAGACGAGACGACGACGAAAACCGCACGGAACACGAGAAGAAACGAGAACGACAGAGATCACGAATTTCGAAGACGGACGGCATCACAACAAAGAAAGCGATCGCGACCGGATCACGACCGGATCGGCCCCAAGACGATCGGATCAACGGCTCGCATCGTCGTCACCATCGTCACCGTAAGCGATGTAAGTACGGCTGTAAGACGGCTTGGGATAAGCCGGCTGCTTGGAATAAGCCGGCGGCTTGGAATAAGCCGGCGCCTTGTACCCTTTCTCCTCGCTGCTGTCGGCTCCGTGGGTCCAACCGGGGAAGATCGTGTTCTTCTCCCGTTTCACCTCGGCCTGGAACCCGTAACCTTCGTCCTTGTAGGACACGACGTACAGGTAACCGTCGGGAGCGACGTATCGGTACTCTCCCATCAGCTTGTCTCCGTCCTTCATCTCCTTCTTGGCCTGGTAGTTGTAGGTCTTGTCGTCGCGGACTGGAAAAGAAACGAATTCGTTTCGAGGCTTCGAAAATGCTCTGGGGCGAGGAGACTCGGCGAGAAACGGGCGAACCGAAGGAGGGTTGCGGGTTAAACGTATCGGGTATCGTACACTCGAGTGACAAAAGTATCGAGATCAAACTTGAAATCGATGGAGTTCGTCGAAGAGTAACGGAATAAAAATGTCGACGAGGAAAGTCCATCTCTGAGAGCCTACATCATGCGTCGGTGATTCCTGATTCTCAAAAAAATATCCCGATCTCTACATATATCACCAGAGTTACTCGGTGACTCCTTTCGACTTTCCCAAAAACCCCAAAAGTGTGAATCTCGCCACTTTTCCAAAAATGTTGCCCCCCCCCCCCACTCGTGTCACTCGGAACCGACACGAGAGAGAGAGCGAGTGCATGCAGACGATGCAAAAAAAGGTTCACGTACTTTCGTAGGCGTACTTGTACTTGGAGTCATCGTCGCCGTATCCCTTCTTGCCGTAGCCCTTTTCGTCGGAGCCGGAGCCGGAGTCGGAGTCGTCGCCGTCGGTGCCGTAGGCGACCTTGTAGCTGTTGGCCAGGGGGACGGCAGCGCCGACGGCCACCAGGACGCACAAGACGAGCAGGATCTGCGAGAAGCGACAGTTTTCGCGCCTTCGAACGAGGAGATTCGCCGAGATTCACCGAGATTCGCTCACCTTCATGTCGGAGGAACGGTCGAGAGCGGAGAAAATGCCCAAAGAATCCCAGAAGAAGGCGAAGACGACTGTGAGTTTCTCCCCGGATCCGACCGGGGTTCTTATACCCCGCTCGAAAAGAGGGTCTCGGTTGCATCACCGGCCATCCTCATCCTCTACGGAAAGATGCATTAATTTGAAGAAACCGAAGGAAAACCGGACCAAGGTCGCGACCGGTCCTCCGTGCATCTGGAATCTCGAGCGAATCACCCGTTTTCGAGGGTTTATCTTATTGGGGCGAACGTGTTCGCATTATTAACGACCTCCGACAGGTCTCCGAAAGCGACATCGAGTGTTTCTCTCCGATCCCATCGAGGATCTTAGGGAGAATTTTACGCAATCCGGTGCCATGGGTCACCGGTACTCCCCGTTCGTTTCGTAGAGAACCTTCGGTCCTTCGAGGACTCGAGATCGTGGAAGAAGTTTCGAAGAAATGCCATGGCTCTTTTCGACCGATCGTCGCCGTTCGTCGCAATTTCGTTTCGGGCAGACGTTTTCGATCGAGAGACGATCGAAGCCGACGATCGAGCAGTCGTGAACGAAAAAAAAAAACGGACGGTCGTCTCGAAAGGACGTTCGAGGGAAGTCGAAACGCTCGAGAGTCGGACGAAACCCGATCGCGGATGCTTGACGTCCGGCGAGAAATCGAAACGGACTTTTCTTCTTCTCTCGGCGAGGACTTCATCGTCTATCTTTCGACTCCCTCTGCACGGTCGCAACTGATGGGTAGATGGATGCGACCCGAACCTCCACGATTTCCCCTTGGGTGCACCCGAGAGGTGCACCCGAACGGTAAGCCTCAGAGGTGCACCACGACGGATCTATCGCAGGGATGCGCAAGGCCTTCAAGTCCAAGGGAAGCCAGTCCGCCCAAATCCCAATCGGTACCGATACGTTGTCGTATGTACAGTAGAAGCAGGAAGGGATGGGGGGGGGGGGGGGGGGGGGTTGCATTCTTGAAAGATGTTTCCTTCGGAGACGTTTCGCAGGCGTCATTCCACATCCTTTCTCCCGATGAAGTTGCCTTGAACGCTGCAGGTGAATCACGACATACCCCTTACATACACGCAGAGATCGGTACGAGACAGACACAGGGGAGACTCGCTCGCAGGCACGCCGATCGCCCTTCCCGTAGGCTTCTTTCACCTCCGCTTTCTTGCATGTCCTTTCGGTTCCATTATATTTATTTCGGTTCCATTATATTTATATTCTATTCGTGCGAAAGGGTATTGCCGACCTCGCTCGGTTCGTGCGACGATTTCTTTCCTGTGGCAATCGCTTCATCGGGAACGAATCGGACGACGACGACGACGATGGGTCCGAGATTTTTGCGGCCGAACGATTTTCTCTTCTCGATCGAGAGGGAACGAGTTCGACGACTTCCGCGACGAAATCTTTCACTCGGAATCCGACGGCGACGTCGGTCGAAGATCGAGTCCAAATCGGATCGTGCGGTTGAGTCGCGTTCGAATGGGGTTCCCTAACGTTATGCGAGGGTGCACGCTTTCGAAAGTTCAAAACCGAAAGTATAGTGAAGCGTTGCTCTCCGATAACTTTCTCTTAAACCTACATCGCAAATAAATATTTTCACGGTTTCTGTAGCGACCGCTCGAGTTCCAGAGTCGAGCGTCGGCTGCCCAACCAATTTTCCTTTTTTATATTTCGATGCGGCGTCTGCGTTCCGAGAAACTCACGGAGCGCCGTCGAGTTTCGGTAACCGGTCGAAGGCATCCGTTTTGCGACGAAAAATTTCGAAACCGTTTGGGGGACCTCGAGTCGTAATACATACGTATCGGCCGTCGCGTCCCCCGTGAACTTCCTCCAGAGAAAAAACCAGAAAAACGTGTTGAAATGACGCAATCGAAAAAAACAGCCCCGAATCCCGTCCAAATAATGAAGATTCCGCAAACCGCAAGGTCGAAAAGGATTTAAATAAAAAAAAGGCTGATTCAT